GATACTATGATGGACCACACATGACTATAATTTGATGATATGCTCATCTCATGTCTAATTATATCTATTTATTTATCTCAAGAAGACAAATTATGCTCATCTCATATAAAGATACAAATGTTTAAAGCACATGGTGGATGAAAATTACAGAATTTTTTTGTATACATTATAAAATTTGGTATTTGGATCAATACTTATTCTACATATAAAATCATTCATCCAACGGTAAAAAGAAATTTTAAAAATGTTGTCGATTAATTTTTTTTTTAAATCACGATTTGACATGAAATTTGTAGAATCAAGGTTTAAACATAAGAATTACATAGTCGTATTTGGAAACTAAAATTATAATCAATATTTAACACAACGATGTTTTACAAATGATGTCAAAATCTTATATTGGAAGTAGAACTAAACATTGGTAGTATCGTTTGTTACATTTTAAATAATAATAGTTTAATAAAAGAATTGTTTTTAGCTTTTGGTCATATAACCTTTTTAGTAGATAAATTTTTTTTCTAACATTGACATTTGTTTCTAATTTTTATTTAATAATAATATTTTTGATACGAAGAAAATTGTATTAACAAAAATATTGTTATTATTTGGTTTGAATAAATCTTTTAATTTTATATTTGATATTTATGTAAAAGATTTGATTTATTTACAATATTAATATAAATGTGATTTTATAAATTTAATAGTTTGTAACATGTAAATATGCAAAAAATACATGCGATGTAACTTTTTTTTCACTTGAACTTTGAACACGACTACATACACAAATTTGGCAAAATAGACATGAGTTCCACTGGTTCACAGCTAGTTATAAGTTTTAACTAAAACATTAGGTATTTGTTTCTTCTCACTCTATTCAACATCGAGAACATCCATTACTTTCAATTTATTTCTCTTCATCCTCTTCTCTATCTTACCATACTTTCGTTCCATTATTTCTCTTATGTACCTTTTCTTCATCATCTTACACATCTTTACAGTTTC